ATCATCCCCACTTTACAGACGAGGAAACTGAGGCTCGGAGAGGGCTAAGCAGCCCACACACAGCAGAGCTAAGTGGAGAGCCCAGAATCCGCCTCTGTATGCACGTGCACGGACACACATGTGCGTGCGGCTCTATACGTATGCAGCGGTGTGTGCACTGCGGGCGTGCGTGTGCCTGTGTGTTCATGTGTGTATACACATCTACGTTTCTGTGTGTGTGTTTAGCCTCTTTCTAGCTCATAGAAGACTCTCCTCTATGATAACAAGAATCTCTCTTGTTTGTAGAGGCCTTTTGAATTTACAAAGCACTCTCCACTGTGTTAAGGTGAAGGGTCCCCCAGGACCCCAGGGGGCAACCAGGATGAGCAATCCTCCCAGCAGGGTGAGTGCCGGGGTGGGAGGCCACACAGCAGCTCAGCGGGCCTGGGGCCTGGGGCCTGGACCTCGCGATCGGCCAGCCTCAGCCGAGGGGTCCCTCTGGGTCCAGCCCGCCCCCATTGATGGTTCGGGTGAGGTCCGGAGCTCAGAGCACCTCACCATGTTTGGGAAGAAGGCCCTGGCCTGGCGGCTGTCGTCCATCTTGAACAGGGCAGGCAGGTCGATGATGTCCTGCTCTGTCAGTCCCAGCTCCTTCTTGAGGATGTCGCGGTTCCAGTCCAGGCAGCGCTGGGTGATGGGGAAGAAGGGAAGGCGGGGGGGTGAGGGGCACCCCGACACCACTGTCCACCTCACCCCTGCCTGAGGCATCAGACCTGGGGCCCCAGCACTCCAGGGAGCCTGCAGGGCTCCTCCAGTACGGGGCCACCTCTCTGGTGCGCCTCCCACCCATACGAGTAATAGAGAACGAGGGAGAAACTTACAGAACTCACACCAGAAGCTCACAGAAATGACACTCAGTACTCTTTTACTGATCACCAGCTACGAGTCGGACCCCAAGTGCGTGCCATGTAGTATCCCGCTGAATCCTCAGGCCACCCCAGGTGGTAAGAATAACAGCGACAATGGTTTTGATTAATAATAATAAAAACTAATATGTACAAGTACCCTAAGTGTATGTTCTAAGTGCTTTACATACGTCACTTATTTCAACCTCAATCTCATGAGGTGGACACTATCAGTATCCCCTTACTAGAGATGAGGTGGCTCGATCATAAAGAATCCTCCTGCCAAGGTAGGTGACGCAGGAAACATGGATTCAATCTCCAGGTCGGGAAGATCCCCTGGAGGGGGAAATTGCAACGTACTCCAGCACTCTTGCCTGGGAAATCCCAAGGACAGAGAAGCCCGGAGGACTACAGTTCATGGGGTCACAGAGAGCCTGAGCGCACACATCATGAGTGTTAGAGATGAGGGAACCTAAGACGCAGGGTCCTTAGTGAGTGGCCCAGAGTCCTAGCCCAAAGTGAGGGGTCATGGTATGACCTCAGATCTACATGATGCCAAAAAATGACAACAGAGAGGAGTCGTGAGAAAGTTAACTTTCAAACAGCCGTGAGGCCTTTGGGGAACTTTTGGAATTTTGGGGCTGCTTCTCCAGCAATCCACTCCACCCCTCCCCTTGAGAAGTAGCAGCCAGTTATTGGGTTGGGTTTCACAGCCAGTGCCCCTACCTCTTTGTTCCAGGGATCAAGTCAAGGATGGGTCATAAACTAGGATTAAGGCAATCAGGATATGGAATTCCTCTGGCTACAATTGGTTCAGGTTGGCACAATCAGAGTGAAATGCAAGGCTTTTGTTTAACTGTTGGGGGCATATAAGACCTCTCTCTTTCTGGATGGTGTGGGGGGGTGGATGGGAGACCTTGAACAGCTGCAGCTAAGCTCCGGCCATGAGGGCACCTGCAGAGCCCGAGAAGCGCAGAGAGGCAAGCCAGAGCCCGGACCGACCTGCGCCGGAGTCCACACCACCGCGGAGCTTTCCCCGACCTGCGCCTGAATGCACGCCACTGCGGAGCTTTCCCCGACCTGCGCCTGAGTCCACGCCACTGCGGAGCTTTCCCCGACCTGCGCCTGAATGCACGCCACTGCGGAGCTTTCCCCTGGTATGAGCCAGGCATGCCCTTTTGTGTAAACACGGCTGAGTTTTTTTTTTAACTTGGTGCTTTAAATATGCCCATGCAAATAAAGAGAGATCTAATTCAACTAAATAGGACCCTGTTGACTGGTTTCTACTTCTGGATACAATTTTGAGATTGAGGGATTCAGAAAGTAGAATTCATCCATAGATAGAAAACTTCAGGAATCTGTGACCCCTGAAAAATAAAACTTCAGGGCATATCTTCATATAAGAGTTTTCCTGGGAAGTAGGTCTGTGGCTTTCATATTTTGGTGTCTGTGGGCCTCCCCCAAACGTTGCGGGCTCTAGCCTTACAGAACCTTCGGCTCTTGAGCACTGCTTGATACGTCTTCCTGGTCTCCTGCCTGCTTCCAGCCTCTGCTGACCTGCACGTCCCTCCGCCGCCACATCATTCAGCTTCCGGTACAGGAGTAAGCCAGGAAGGCGGACCGCATGCTGGGAGGCCCGTCCCCCTGTCGTGTGCCCTGGCTTCCTCGCCATCCCCGAGTGCAGCCCCAAGGACGTGACAGGCGCCATCGGTCGCAGCCTCTGCCCTCCCACAAGCCCCGGCCCTGTGCTCACCTGGAAGTACTGGTTCTCCTGCATGAGGCTCTCATTGGACAGAATCTTGTTGATAGTGATGCGCTTGCTGCTCATCCCGCCCAGGCCTGTGGGGTCAGAGGACAGGGGACGGTCTATGTCCAGCCTGGTGCTCCTCTTTGCCAAGACTCTCAGCTTCTGGGCTACCTCTCAGGCTGAGGGTGACGGACCAGGGACAGGCAGGAGTGTGGGAGGGCAGCCCCCGTGGACGCTCCTTTCCCCAGGGCTGGCCATGTCACTGGGACCAGGGAAGCAGGGGGCTGCTGCCTCGCTCTCTCTCTGGCCAGAGGGTGGGGTGGCACAAGAGGCCTGCTTCCAAGGACAAGCAGCTGGCCAGGGGGCGGGTGGCAGAAGCGGTGACACCCTCCCGTTTCAGACCTGCCTCATGCCCGGCCCCACTACCGTTCTGAGCCTGCATCCACCTCCTGTCCCCTTTGTGGTGGCCCATGTGGCTTCTGATTGGTGATACCCAATGCTTAGGGAGCACCTGCTATGTACCAGGGAGTCTTCTAGATGTTTACTCGGATTAACTCAGTAGTCTTCTGCCCACCCATTTCTATCAGGTAGCTTCTAGCATTAAAGATGTAGACACGGAGGCACAGAGAAGTCCCACGACGCGTCCGAGGTCTTACAGTTGGTGGCTGAACCAGTAAGCAGCCCAGGAAGTCTGATTCTAGAGCCTAAGCTATTAACTCCTCTCCCCTCTGACGCGGGTGCACTGTGTTTCCTAGTCTTATAGCTTGACAGTGGCAGATGGGGGCTATCGCTGAGCTGTCTCCAACCCCTTGGACCTATTTGTACAAAGATAATAGTTCCTGTACCCTATGGGTAACTTTGAGGGGTTAATGTAGAAGGAAGCTTCCAGAAAGTTGAGACTCATGCCTGCCAATCTAAAAAAAATTTCCTATTGGTGGGAATTAAAAAAGGATAGTGGTCTTAAGTTCATCTTGTCTGTCCCAGACACCAGTCACTAATAGGAACACAGGAGGGTGGTCATGTATGTAAGTATCAACCAGCCTGAGGGATACAGACTTTTGGGAGTAGGTGGATTAGAGATGCCAACCTGAAAAGTGACAAAAAGTAATCTACGAAAAACACTTAACAACCGGTCATGGTGTCTCTAACCTGGCTCACTGTCTCTGCCTCATCAGCTTTCTTTCTTTCCACAATTAATTTAAGAGCAAAGCTCATCCCAGTTTGTCTGCCTCAATTAAGTGGATGCCTGAATGAAGCAGACGATTTCTCACTCTGGGACTAGCGGTGATGCCGTCTGACCTTGCATCGTGTCTGCGAGCTCCCACTCTTCTTCCTGCCCCTAAACCGCAGTGTGTATGCTCTTCTCTAGCTTCCTTCCAAAACACAAGGTCCCAGGATGCAGATCACACTTCAGTTTTGAACCGTTTAACTCTCCTCGGGGGCTGGTGCCATTTGAAGCGTCCCACACTGGGTCCCAAAGAACCTCGGACCACTGTCGATGATCATAAGGGGCAGTGGGCGGCTTGAGGTGGGGCTGACCACAGCGCAGAGGCCAGGGCCGCCTCCCACCAGGGTGACCCCACGGCCTCGGAGTGGGCTGGACGACCGGAAGTGGAGCTGGGTGTTGGGGTCAAAGCGCTCACCGGCCCCGTCCTCCCAAAAGCCCCCCTGGGGGCCCGGCTCGCTGCCAGGGCCCCGTGGGCACTCACCTTTGAACATGATGGCCTCCCCGTGGCCCTCCTTCTGCTTCTCTCGGAAGAGCTTGTAGCAGGCTGCGGTGCTGGCCATGAGCATCCGGAATTTCTGCGAGAGACCGTCCAGCCGGCCGGTCAGCAGGGGGCAGGTGGCCCAGCCGCGTGGGGGGCTCCTGCACTGTGGACCCGGGGCCTGACTGCATATCGTCTCACGCCACCCGCGTTGAGCGGCGAAGGCTGCCTGGCAGGTTGTCTCTATTTCAGAGGACTATTTCTCACCCTTCCTGCTACAAAAATTTTCCTGCCTCAGCAATGCAGTTGAGTTGAAGCTCAGAGTAAAAGGTGACCTTGGGCAGAGATGAAGAGCTTCTCCAAGGGGCCAAGAGGCCCAGCCATTTGCTCCAGATTTCCAGGGTATTAAGTTGCAGACATTTCTTTTCACTTCAGAAAACAAAAGAATCTCTCTAGGGCCCCAGGCCCAAATCCCATTGCTCTCTAGGGCATTACGGCCAGTACAGTGGCCACTAGCCCTGTGGGGTTACTGGACCCTTAAACTGTGGCTGGTCTTAGTGGAGACGTGTGAACAATAAAACCCACACCAATTCTGAACGCTTAGTATGGAAAAAGAATGTAAAACCTCTCATTAATAATTTTTATAATGGTTACATGTTGAAATGCTAAAACTTCAGATTTATTGGGTTAAACATTTACTGGCCACAGCAACAACATGCAAGCCAGCTTCAGCCTACTTCCTTCCTCCTCTGTACACTCCACTTCCTGGTCGCCCCCGCTGCTGACAAGAGCTGGCGGCACAGGGGTTCCACACTAGCCTCCTCCCTCCAGCCTCAGCATCAGCTCACCCTGGTGCCTGGGATGGGGACGAAGGTCAGGAATTCATCCACGTGGCCCACGGTCAGCCAGTCTGAGTAGAGCTCCACGGGCGCCTGCACCTGCTGGGCCTGCAGGAAGTCCCGCACCACCTTGGTCATCCTCCGACCACCGGACCTGGGTGGGGTTGGGAGGGGGCAGTTCTTCAGAAGGTTGCCCGTGGTGCCTGTCTCGCCAGAGGGCTTGCAGGAGGAGTTCAGCCCCTGGAAGCCAGCCTGGACCCAGCATGGCATCAGCAGAAAAGTCATGAGAAGGAGCCTGAGTTGCAGAGACACTGGCACAGGCAGAAAGGCACTTGAGTCCGCGGGGAAGAAGGAGGTGCCAGCTGCAGCCATGGTCTGTGTGAAGGGCAGGGGGCCTGGCCTTTAGCTCCTGAGGGTGTCAGTGGGCATAGGGAGGCCAGCTTCTGTGCTCAGGACTGCTGGAGGGGGCTAAGGCCCAGGCAGGGTTCCAAAATCTGCCCCTGCCTATGTCCCTCTTGGCTAGGAACTTCTCAGTTTCAATCTTCAATCAAGCGATGCCTCTTCCAGGCAGCCCTTCTTGACTTCTGCGCTCCCCGAGGTCTTCAATCTCCCCATTACCCTCACGCGATAACCCAAGGTCTTCACAGTGGCTGGCAGATTGGTTTTTGATCTGTCCCCTGCCTGTCTCTCCTACTTCCTCTTATTCTGCCTTGTTCTGTCTGACCCAGCCAGGTGCTAAGGCTGTTACCTTGGAGGCTTTGCCCTGGCCGTTCCTTGTATGTGGAATGCGCTTTCCCTTTGACCTTTCCCTGGTTGCTTCCTGCTCATCACTCAAGCCTCAATTCCAGAGGCGTTTCCTTAAAACCACAAGAGCCAGAGTGCCCCTGGGCTGTCACTGTTCACCATGTGCCTATTTTATCTTCCTCACTGCGCTGATTAGCACCCAGAAGCACCTAACTTATCTGCTGGCCTCCACGTCTATTTTCTGTGTCATCCTGATCCCTAATCGAAAGCTCCCCAAGAGCTGGGGCTTTGTTTTGCTCACGGCTGCTTCCTCAGAGCCTAGAACGATGCCTAGCACAGAGAAGACCCTCCATAGATGTTCGTCTCTAAGAAGCCCCCTGAGCTCCCCCAAGGGGCTCCCCCAGTGGCTCCTCTTGGGTTTCCCTGGCTCTGTTATCCTGTCACTGGATGCACCCACCCCCGGTCATCTCCATGCCAGTTATCTCCACCATCTCTGGGAAGGGGGGACTGGGCTTCATGTCTGAAACCACATGCCCGTCACAGGCTTCAGAAATACCTGCTGAATGGATGGGTGATGGCTGAGAGCAGGGGGAAAGTGGGCAGAGGGGGCAGATGGTCACTGTGCCAGTGGCCTCCTCTCAAGCCAAAGCATCCCTGTGGCCCACAGGGAGCCAGATCCCAGCTGGCCCCATACGTGCAGGCTCCTGGCGGCCCCTTTGGTGAAGTGAGGACCCACGGCACTCACGTCCTCCCCAGTGACTGCCCTAACTAAGGACGAACCTGCCTTTTCGTTGGCTGGTAGGCCACCTGGGGAGGGACGGGGGTGTGTGGACAGGCCAGAGAGCCAGGGACTCAGGCCTCAGGGCCGGCCGTGGCTTCTCCCGTGTCCTGTGTGTGGGCTTCCTGGGGGTTTGCTGGCGGGCCCCCACTCATCTTCTCTCAGTACTGTTCCTTCTCTAATCCTGCATCCCTTCCCCACCTTATTTATAACCTCATTATATACCCTCCCATTTGGGGAAGAGGGCCATTTACTCAGTTTTATGTTAGATCCTAATTCATACTAAGATGTAAAGGCTAACTTGATTTTCTTTCCAAGAATGTCTGTATCTTGTCTGTCACGGGCGAGGTTAATTCTCCCAGCCGATCACTCCATGTCTGAGCAACCCAGTCTGCCCCAACAGAAACGACAACTACCCCCCGACCCCTGACCTCACCCCCCCACTTCTCCAGCCCCTCCCTGGCTTCTCTTACAGAGGAAAGCTGCTCCCGATGAGGATCCGGCCCAGGGGGTATGTCTTGCCATTCACGGTCACTGGTGGACTGACCTCCAGGTTCCCAAAGGAATCAAGGCTGGTGACAGGTTCAAAGAGCGGCTCCCGGGTCACATAGCCAAAATCTGGGCCCTGGGCAGGGGGCACACACTCGTGGTTAGTCCCCTGTGGCCAGGAGCCCTTAGTCCCAGCCCAGCCACCGCCTGGCAACCACTTTCCACCACCTTTGGTCTGGCCCTGTGAGCACTCATCTTCCGGGGGGTTACCCATGTGCCTCTCATTCCCACTGAGAGCAGCAGCCTGGCACGCGGAGGCTCAGTCTGTGAGCACGTCGGTGCGAGTGAAAACACGAGTGTGTGTGCGCGTGCACACATCTGAGCCTCTGCATCTGTCTTGATTTCTTAAACACAGAGTCACTTCAGTTCAGTTCAGTTGCTAAGTCGTGTCTGACTCTTTGTGACCCCAGGGACTGCAGCATGCCAGGCCTCCCTGTCCATCACCAAACCCTGGAGTTTACTCAAACTCCTGTCTATTGACACAGAGAGATACTGGTGATTTCATGACTGGTCTTTGTTTTGTGCCATTGACATGCCTATTCCTCTATTAATGCGAGCAAGAAACCGACCTTTGCTGATGTTTGCTATTGAGGGATGGGGGCTGCTTGTTACTACAGTCTTTCCAAGTGAAAGCTGACCAATACGTGCAAGAACGTCAGATAACTAACATATATACAGTTGCGACCCCTCCCCAACCAACCATATTTGTTCACTGAGCCCAGATGCAGCCTCAGACTCCTCAGCACAGAGCTCTGACAGACTGCAGTTACAGGACGCAACCCTGTGATGAGTGTGGTAAAGCCGCTGCCACTCCCTGAATTTTAAGTTTCCTTTCATGATTTGATTTTTTTTTTTTTTTTTTTTGGTAAAAAGGTATGGATCTTGCTTGAGAGCTTGCACTGGGGCTGGAACGAAGCTTGTCTGACAAACATCCTTGCTAATAAAAATCATAGAGTGAGAAGACATGGCTTATCCTGGCCCAGCTTAGAGGCTCAAGGGACAGCTGTGCCCAGAGGGGCGAATGGCTGCAGCTTAGCGCTTTCCCTCCTGGGAGCCCCAGATGGCAAGGTGTGATCTGCCAGAGGCTGGGGCAGCTGGGGTTTTATAGCCTTACACAGGCGGGCAGGCACGCAGCGCAGAGCCGGGCTTGGCCCGGGCCTCCAGGAACAATGCAGCCCAGGGCACTGGTGCCAGGCCAGCCTGGAACACTGCAGGCAGGTGGCGACCCGGGGAGAAGGTGAGAACAGGATCTGAGAGGCCCCGGTTCTCAGCTGACCAGTTTGACCGCCCTCGTGTTGGAGGACGTGGACAGTCTGCACTGAGGACAGTGTCCAGGGCCGTGGAATGAGAACCAGAACAACAGCTAATAATAGTCATTGTGTCGGGAGCAGCACAGGTGTCTTAGATCACGCCTTCAGTCTTCGCAGCAAGTCTGTGAGATGGATACCGTTTTGATCCCCATCTCACAGATGAGCAAACTGAGGCTTGAGGAGGTTGTTGCTTGCCCAAGGTCATGCTGCTGCTAAGGGGTGGAAACGGGACTCAAGGCCAGCTGCATCTGGCGTTCTAGAGCTGTGTGCTCACACCGCTGGCTCTGCCATCTCCCTGTGATGAGGGGACGAGGTTAGTGAATGTTCTCGAGCAGCAGGTGTGGACTTGGTGAAGGGCTGCCTCTGAGCAGCTCTGATGTCTCATGGGAGGCTGTCCTGCATGGTATCTTGGGAAAGACCCCTAACCTACATTTCATGCTCCATCCAAGCTCCCCTGCCTGTCCAGGGCAGAAGGTCAGGACAGAGAAGACTGATTCTGGTTCTGTCCTCATTCAGCTGGTTGTTGAGGACATTAAAGGAGAGCGGTAATGACCTCTAGGATCAAGGGTGGGGGTTAGATTGCTTAAACTCATGAACTGAAAAATCATAGCCTTAATGAGCTTTGAAGTTGGAACCATGCTTTTCAACAATTGCTTATAATTTTCCTCCGTGAAATGTATTTTGCTGCAGGTTGGAGGTGGGGGCAGGGGCAGGTCTCTGCCTGCCACAGCTCTCACTTCTCCGTTTTGGAAAGGTACCAGTTATGAGAGCAGGAAAGGACGTTGGAGGTTACTGTCCAATGACCCATTCTGCAGATGAGAAGATGGAAGCAGCAGACTAATTTGCCAAGGGGCTTCCCAAGTGTCTCAGACGGTAAAGAATCTGCCTGCAATGCAGGAGACCCAGGTTCCATCCCTGGGTCAGAGATTCCCCTGGAGAAGGAACGGCAACCCACTCCAGGGCTCTTGCCTGGAGAGTCCCGGGGACAGGGGGGTGCCTGAGGCCTCCCTGCTGCTCTGCCCTGTAGCACAGTCCCAGGGCTGCGCCCGACCCCGTCCTGCAAGGCGGCCCTCAGCCTCTCACCAGGAGCTGCTTCACCGGGAAATCCTTCAGGCTTCCGTCTCTGGGGGAGTCCAGCACCACGGGGAAGCCTTTGTGCGGGGCCTCGATGTAGCCAAACTCGATTTCATCCTGGGGGGACAGCGGGAAGAGCCACCCCGTGAGCCCAGGGGGCCCCCGGGGAGCTCCAGCCGGCCTGCCCAGTCCCCCCCACGCACACGATGGCCGTGGTTTCTTACACAGCCCTCCTCGGTCTCTGCACGGCCCCCGTGTGCCTGCACTCACTGACCCCGCTTTAAAACATAACTGGAAACATCCTGTGTACATCTTCCTGCAAGGAACACTTTAACTTGAGAGCCATACTGCATTTACAGATTGGCTTCATTCTGTTGTATATTACTCCACAGAGAGGCCATCCAGTCGTACGGTCGCCCCCTTCCCCCGAGGACGGGCGTTTCGTTTGTTTCACAGCCTTCTGCTCCTCTAAGAAGCTGCAGTGAGCCGCCTGGCGTGTTCAGACCCTGTGCATACGCACACGTGTGATCTGACATAGAATTCACATGTGTGGAGCAGCTGGGTGCCAGGGTGCTGACGCCTCTTCTGGCCTGAGTCCCGAGCTGCGTCCTTCCCAGCCTGGGGGGCCTCACCTGGATCCAGCGGTCTCCCCGGTTCATGTACTGGAAGCAGACCTTCAGTTCGCAGTTGGTCTTCTCCACCAAGTTCTTCACCTCTTTCAGGAACAGGTAGTTGTCCTTCATGCTGAGGAGCGTGGGCAAGAGGGAGAGGCAGGAGGGAGCGTGAGGAGGCACGGGCCCGCCGCGGGGGAGGCGTGGCCGTGGGCCCGGGCCGGGCCCTGCGGGGCAGACGAAGCCCCTCTGTGCTCACCTGTGCAGAGACTGCTGGAGTCAAGGGCCGCGCAAGCTCAGCCCTTCCTGCAGTGTCTGCCAGGGTCACGAACAGACAAAGCGAGGAGGGCAATTCTCACCCCGCTTCCCAAAAGCCTTCCACCTCTGACTCCCAGGTTTCCAAGGAACAGCTAAGCTGGCCCGGAGGCAGCGGATGGCTCAGCACACAGGGGCGTGTGGCCAGCATCGCCTGCTCCTCGTCTCACGGGGCCTCTAGCACATAACACGCTCAGTGAAAAGCTGCTGGATGAACAAGATGAGCTGGATATCCATCACAGAGGAGCGTTCCCTACTATATGGCAAGGGCCCAAAAGATACGGGAAAGAAAAGGTAGCTATCATTTTTAGAGCACAAGAGAACTCTGTGCCAGGACCCTGATGAATTCTTTGCCTGCTTCATCCCACTTAATCCTCGCAGGGGCTCTGTGATGTCACCATCTCAGAGAAACAGAGGCACAGAGAGGTCTAGTGAGTTTCTCGAGGTCACACAGCTGAGAAGTAACAAGCATGACCCCTCCTGAAGCCTCAGCTCTGGCTGCTCTGCCCAGCTGCACTGTGCCTACTGCTTACCAGCACACAAACACCGACACGGGAGGCAGGATGTTGGGGGTCATGATCCACGGAGCGATGCGGAACGTCACAGTGTCCGTGAAGATGGGCGTCAGAGGGATCGCCTGGGCGTGGGAGAGCAGAGGTCAGGAGTCTTGTTAGGGTGCCTTTCCCTCCTGTCTAACCACTACGGGAGACGAGTAATTGCTGTTCAGTCGCTCAGTTGCGTCCCACTCTCTGCGACCCCGTGGACTGCAGTACGCCAGGCTCCTCTGTCCTCCACCATCTCCTGGAGCTTGCTCAAGCTCACGTCCACTGAGTCAGTGATGCCATCCAACCACCTCATCCTCTGCTGCCCCCTTCTCCTCCTGCTCGCAGTCTTTCCCAATAGTAGTACATTATTGAGCACTTACTGTATGCCAGGTCCTGTTTTGACAGGTGAGACTTCACTTCTGCCATACTCAGGGGTAGACACTATTTTAATCCTTGTTTTGTAGGTGGGAAAACCGAGTCACAGACCTCTGACTCACAAACTGTACATGGCTGTCCAAGGTCAAGTGATCAGGAAGGGGGCAAGCCTGTATTTAAGCCCGACAGTCTGGCCGTTGAGTCCAATTTCAACCGCTATCTGATCTCGTTGCATCAAAGTTCTTTTCCTGAAATCGGCTCATGTGGTGACTGAGTCAGACCCGGCTTTCCTCTGTGTTTACTCTGGGTACCTTGGTCTTTTCTACATGTGAGCATTTTAACGTTACTGGGGGAAATTTCGCTCTGTCCAGATTTCTCTTTAAGGAAAGGTTTGGGAAACTTGCCTGGAACCTGAGAGAAGGTGAGATAAGATTTCTTCTCATGGCTGGCTTTGGAAAGCTACAGGAAACCGTGCCCTGCCCTTGGCGGGGAGCATGGGGGAGGCCTTTCCCGCACGGGTCTGCCTTTTGCTGGTGTCTGTTGGGGGGGCCGCTCTGAGACCCTGATGGCCAGACTGCTGTAGGCACTGGGGGTGCAGGAGCAGCCCCTCCCCACCCTGTCTCATTATCGCCGTTTTCTCTGCCTTTCCCTCCTCCCAGGGACTCGAGAGCACTTTGTGAATGAGTAACAAGCTTGGATGCTTACAGTCACCCCAGGAAGCAGAAGCATTTGTCATCTCTATTTTCCAGGTAGGGAGAGTGAGGCATACGGGGTCTTTCCCAGCGTCTCGCAGGCTCAGACCCGGGCAGCCTGACTTGAGCCCCTTCTCGTAACCCTAAGCCCAGCTTCGCCTGCGGCGGAGCCCACGGCATGTTGCCTTGAAGTGGTCTGAAGGCGAAGCAAAGGAGCAAGCTCGTGTCTGAGGGGCAGCCGGGCCTCCCTCTGTCTGAGCAGAGGGGGCCTGAGAGCCAGGGCTCTGGGGCTGCAATTTTGGTGAGCGGTCCTTACGGGTGGGATGCAGCCTAGGCTGGGGGCACCGCTCCCCGAGGGGGTGGGTACTCGCCTCCCTGCTCAGTTCCTGCAAACCAGGAGTGCAGGTGTGGGAGCCGTCTGGCCGCAGGGAGGGCACACGGTTCGGGACTGGGTTTGGGGTTCGGCCTGTGGTCAGAGTCGGCAGCACCCACGGCGAGGGTGCGGGGCCGGTTAGGGACGGAAGAACAGGGCACACGCTCATAGCCTAGTTGGCTCCTCCTGCTAACCGCCGGGCCCTGTGCCCAGAGCTACGCCCACCCTAGACAGCAACGCGGGCTTCCTGAGTGGCTCAGCGGTAAAAAGTCTGCCTGCCAGTGCAGGAGGCGCAAGCTGGATCCCTGGGTCAGGAAGATCCCCTGGAGAAGGAAACGGTAACCCACTGCAGGTAGTCTTGCCTGGGAGATCTCGTGGATAGAGAAGCCTGGCTCCTCAACTAACGTCTGATCTTGTTGCATCCCAGTTTTCCTCCTGAAGTCAGCTCACATGATAATCGAGCCAGACTCGGCCTTCCTGTTTCTGCTCTGGGCACCTCACTATAGTCCACGGGGTCACAAAGAGCCAGACACAACTGAGTGACTGAGTGCACACACTCACACTCACACACACTCACTCACACACTCACACACACACACTCTCACACACTCACACACTCACTCACACACACACACTCACACACTCACACTCTCACACACTCACACACTCACACACTCACACACACTCTCACACACACTCACACACTCACACACACTCACACACTCACACACACACTCACTCACACTTCAGGGAGCAGGCAGACCTGGGGACAGGTGTGAGGTCAGAGAAACACCTGAAGACCACCCTGTGGAGGAGGTACAGTGAGGAGGACCGCCAGGGCGGAGTGCAGGACACTGGCAGATGTGGACGGGTGGTGGGGGCATTTAGATCTCCACACCTGGACTTCCTCCAAGGGGAGCCCGCTCCAGTCCCCGGGAGCCCCTCCCGGCGGAGGCCCTCACCTCGGCCATGTATTCCAGCAGGCTGACGTGGATGGAGACCAGGCCTGAGAATCCCTCGTCGGGGAAACGCAGGCCTTCCACGAAGAACAGCAGCTCCGCGGAGCCGCCTGTGTACTTGACCACGTGGTAGAGCTTCCGCCGGCCCAGGATGTGGACGTAACGCTGGCCGAAAAAGGGGTCTGGAGGAAGAAGGACCCAGGTCAGGCCCAGCTCCCCCAGCCGACCGTGGGGCGGGATCACCGATGGGGGTGCGACAGCAAAGCCCCTTGTCCTCCAGACGCAGAGAGGAAGCACAAGCGGCAAATGCCACCGGAAGGGCCGCAGCCTGGTCATCGTGCCAGCCCTGTGGCCCCGAACCAGACACCCTCCCTGGCTTCCAGCTTCCTCAGCTATAAAGGGAGTAAGCTCGCCCCAGGAAGGAGACAGGAAATGAGAGAAACTGAGGACTGGGCAGCCAGTGGCGGCGAAGAAGGGAATTACTGTTCCCATTTTACAGAGGAGGAAGCAGTCCCAGAAGGGAAAATGGCTTGCCTGGAGTCATACAGCCAGAACGTAGCTGAGCTGGGACTCAAATCCCTAATTCTGACCCCCAACCTCTCTTCCCGTTTATATGAAGAAAACACCCACTTGTGCCCTCAGTTCCCCTCCATATAGAGGGAGCCATATCAGCATCGGGGTCTCTCGCGGTGCGTTTTTCCCCCTGGTTGCACACGTGTGTGGTTGGGAGGAAAGGCTGGTTTCTCCCACACTCCTAGGCCACTGAAATCTCCTGGCTCCTTGCTGTTCCCTCTGCTTAGAAGACTTGTCTCCCTCCTTTCAGGTCTTGATGTGTCGCTTCTGGGAATTGCATCCAGATCCCCCAGAGACCAAGTCAGGGGCTCTGTCTGCGGCGTCTGCACCCCCGGCCTTCCCTGTCCCAGCCGTTAAATGGACATGATCTCAGTGTTCAGCTGTTGGCCCCCAGAGCCTGTCACCTGCGCGGTGGCTGAGACAGGCCCGGCAGGGCCCAGTGCAGGTTGTGTTTGATAAACATCTACTGAATGCACCAGTGCTCCCACGTCACTCCGCACGGGAGAGCCTTCAGGCCAATTCAGAGTGCATGTACTGAGTCACTGCTCTCTGACCACATGGCAAGGACCTCTGGGGGAGACAGAGAGGGTCAAGAAGCGGACCCCAGAAAGGCTCAGCTGGTGATGAGATCGCGCAGATGAGGGAGGCATCATGGCAGAGCTCTGTGGTGAGCGAGCCTGAGGCGCTACTGGGAGGCGGAGGAAGGGAGGGGGGTGGGAGGCTTTGAGCGGAGAAAGGCAGCCTTTGAGATGCCCTTGGGGGTGGCAGAAGTGGGCACAGCGAGGAGACGGGATACTTGCATTGCCAAACACACGGAGGTAGGACCCTATGCAGTTCCAGGAGAAGTTTCTTTATGCCCTGCCGAGCTGGAAGGGCAGAGTCAGCTCAGCTTAGTACTGTCGTCAAGAACAAGGGGAACGGTTAATGAGCAGGCACCCGAGGGCTACAACAGGTGACTAGAACAGCATGGATAGGGCGCTTGATTAAAACACGCAAAATGAACAGAGAAACCAGTGAAGCCTGGGCTCAGGATGGCGTCTCATGTAGGACAAGGCGCTCAATTAGATCCTGGTTATACGTACATCTCTCTGAGGGCGGGTGACCTTAGTGGTTATGACTTCCAGAGTCAGAGAGATGCGGGTTCAAGTACCTCTTTGGCTTTCAAGCTGCAAAACCCCAGGGAATTCACTTAACCTTCCTGAGCCTCAGTTTATTTATCTGTTAAATGGGAGACAGTAACACTTTTGCCACAGGGTCCTTGCAAGATAAAATGACGCAGCATTAGGAACTGAGGCAAGCTTGGTAACCAGGGGTAACGAGTGGTTACACAGCTGGGACCTGCCGGTATTACTGTATGAGAACCTGTGAATGTGTCGGCAGACCCTTTACTGCATGATCATCTCGTTGAATGGTTTAGGAATAGAAGGCAAAGAAAAAACACCTCACCTCCCTTTCTGTGGGTTGGCCCAAGAAATGAGGAAGACAGACCGAGACACTGCGTGTCCCAAGGGCTTTCTCACAGCTCAGTGTAAAAGATGACATCCTTCTCATGCAGAAAAGACATGTGCCCTGTGTCCCAACCACCGAGGAGGTCCAGATGGCTCTGCATCATTAAGGACAATTCTCCCCCAGGGACCCAGGGCCTCCCATGACCACGTGTCCCAGGCTGCACTTGAACTGATGCTGGGAAAGTGATCTCAAGCCATGAAGCTGACCTGTCTTTTCAGAAAGCTCCGGAACTTTCCCATAGCTCGGGGCAGCTAGGTGGGATGTGTGTGTGTGTGTGTGGGCTCCCCCTGGGCCTGGGAGGGTGGGGCTCTGGCAGGGGAGCTGGGCGGGGCAGAAGGACTCGTTTTGGCCCATCTGCATGCAGTCTTTTCTGTCTGTGGCCTGCAGTATCTCGGGCCAGCTCCGGGCAGATGGATCACTCGGTGGGAACAATCAGCCACTGTCCCCGGAGCCTCCTTCCCCTGTCTCCCATCTCCAGCTGGACGCAGGCCTGCCTCCGCGTGGCCAGCTCCCCCTGCAGGAACCAACAATGCCCCTCTATGGCACGGCCCACGCGCCTCGGGCTGGCCCCGCCGGGCACCCTGACCTCTCTTTAGCTCCAGGCGTTGGCCCGCAGGCTGGTACATGCCATCACCCTTCCGGTCAGTGTGAGGTCATTCCACCTCCCAAGGAGACTCTGATAGTGTGATCAACTGTCCTGGTTTGCACAAGATTGAGGGGGCTTTTCAGAATGAGGGATTTTTAGTGCAAAAACCAGGAAAGTCCTGGGCAAACTGGGACAAGCTGGTCACTGCAGCCTTGTAGAAAGAGATCAGGCGCTGACCTCTGAGATCCGAGGGCAGAACCCAAGGCTGGGGTACACACCCCTGGGTCTTCCTAACAGCAATGGGGACGCCTGTCTACGTCAACGACTGTGATTAACGATCACAATGACAACCCCCTGAAAGAAGCAAGTGTCATCTATGGGGAGCGTTCCACGGACCGGCTACTGAGTGCTGACACATTTCTTATTTGATCTCTGTCTCCAGGGGGTACAGTCAGGCCTCTCCTTAGCCCCGCGTGACATCCCACATGAGTACCCAAGGCCTGGCCTGCTGAGGAGACTTGCCCACACACAGGATCTGAACACCCTGGGCTCCAGAACCCCTCTCAGGGTCCCTGAGCCCCCAGCACAGCCCCTGGCCATTGGGGAACATGAGCGACACGTGACATTTGTGTAACAGCACACAGCCTCATCCACGGCGCACTTGGAGTTTGACAGAGACCTCAAGCTGTTGCAACCTGGGGCTTCGGTTCTGGGGGAGATGGACTCTCCTGGGCTCATCGCTGTGTCCATGAGGCATGCCCCCACACGATATGGCAACCTAATAACACAGCCTGGGGACGGCGCGGCAGAGCGCTCCCAGCGGCGGCTCCTGCCTGCTCAGGGCCCAGCTCGGAAGGCTGCGTAGGGGACGGAGGTAATCACGAGTCAGACCTCAACCTACCGCCTCCCTCAGGAAGGCCTCCGGGTCACGGCCAGGGGCCGCCGGTAGCACAATGTGGCCTTGGGGGCTGCCCGTACCCCTCCCGCCCCGGCCAGCAGCCCCACCCGCTGTGGCAACCCCGGCCTGCATGGGGTAAACAGCAGTGGCTCGGGCCCCCTGGGGCTGTGGAGCCGGCCTGACTGGGGACCTTCCAGCTCGCGGAGGTCACTGCCCGATCCCGGGGCGGATCAGGAGGACGGGCTTCAGGTGGCAGCTGTCCACTGCGGTCCTGGCGAAACCCCTCCTGGAGGTGAGGGTCCGGGGCCGCCGGGACCTGCCCCGGTTCTGAGTGGGCCTGTTCCGAGGTGGATTCCAGAGCTAGGAGACCCCAGGCTCCCGGAGGGATGGGCACTCAGGGCAGCTCCACCCCGCACCACGGCAAATTGCAAAGCGAACTATTTTGCTGAGAGAGCTTTTTAACACATAAATCAGAGGCTGACAGTCGCTTGCTTAAAAGTCTCTAATGGCTTTCTGCTGCACTTAGAGTCAGTCCAAGCCGTCTCTCTGCCCTGGCCCCTGCCCAGTTCACTGACCTTAACTCCAACACATCCCTAGCTGTGGTCTGCTGTCTGCTCCCCCAGTGCTCCAAACCGGTTCCCTCCTCTGGGCTTTGCACACACGGTTCCCTCTGCTTGCAACACTCTTCCCTCAGCTCGGGAATGGCTGGTTCTTTCTCATTGTCGGGAGACCGGGCTCGATCCCTGGGCTGGGAAGATCCCCTGGAGGAGGGCATGGTAAACCACTCCAGTATTCTTGCCTGGGAAATCCCCATGGATGGAGGAGCCTGGCGGGCTGCAGTCCATGGGGTCGCAGAGAGTTGGACACAACTGAGCGACTGAGCACTCAGCACTTCTCATGGCCGGTTTGGGTCTCAGCTCAGACGTCGCCTGCTTGGAGGGGCCCCCCGACCCTCCAGGCCAGCGGCTCCCGCCTCCACCTGCTGTCCCCTCCGACTCACTCTGTGTCCTGGCCTCGTCATTCTCCCCGCGACGTCTCCCTCACAGGCCGTCCCCTCCCTGCGGGCAGGGAGCTGACCCAGGGATCCTGCTGCTGACACCAGCACCCAGCATAGAGGGGCTCAACACCCAGTCACAGAAGGAATGAGACAGAGAGGGCAGCCGCGGCGCTAGCCCCTCACAGAAGCATGTTTCCCACACCGGGGGCCCGGATGCCCTGTTCTTGACAAGCTGAGCAAGGGGTCTGCTCCTTGAGGGTGCCCACAGCACCATCTGGGGCTCTTTCAAAGTCGGGGCAGGGGGCGACTTCCCTGGGTGGTCCAGTGGCTGAGACTTCATGCTCCCACCGCAGGGGCCCCAGGATTGATCCCTGGTCAGGCAACCAGAGCCCACGTGCTGAAACTAATGATCCCCACGCTGCAGTGAAGACCTGGCGTGCCAAAAAAACAAAAAGTTGGGGGCAGTTTTTCATTTTCAGAAAGTCCCAGCTGAGCAGAAAACACCTGGCAGGGGGAGAGGGTGGGCACCTGCCTCAGGCGTCACGAAGGTGATGTGAGTCTGCAAAGGGTGACTCACAAAGCCCTTCCTGCCCCGGTTCAGGCGCTCCTCCGGCCCGTGACTGTCACCGCTGACTCCTTGAGGGCGGAGAGGCCGCGCCCTTGGGGCCCTGACTTCACAGGGCCACGGTGACCCTGGCTGATGGTTGGTCCATTACCAAGAGGCCAGTCCTGGAACTCTCCGCCACCTGCCCCCGTGATGACTAAGGGCGCTCTGGGGAGCCTTAGCGGGTGGAGCACGCTCCCCGAGGGGCAGGAGCCGCTGGAGGGCGGCTGGTACACTCACTCTCCACGTAGAACACGCCCACTTTGTCCGAGTCCGACATGGAGATGTAGAGGACGATCTCATAGCCGGCAGGCAGGTGCTCGGGGCCTTTGGTCCGCAGGATCATCTGGGACATGTCCTTCAGGTCTGGGGGCGGCAAGAGGAGGTTGGAACGGAGAGAGCCGCTCTGGGGCACGGGGGGCTGGATGAAGGTACTCGGGAGGTACAAACTTCCAGTCACCAGGTATCAGGTATGTGAGGCACAGCACGACTAATCTCACAAACACTGCTGCGTGTCTCACATGGGGGTGGTTGGCAGAGTCAATCCTAAGAGGTCTCCTCTCAAGAACTTTGTTCTATTTCTTTAATTTTGTACCTACATGAGATGATGGATGTTTACTAAATTTCTTGTGATACTCCATGATGTATGAGAATCAAATCACTATGCTGTGTGCCTTAAACTTAACACAGTGCTGTCTGTCAACCCTATCTCAATTAAAACAAAACAAAACAAAGGAGAATCGTGGCTGGAATGCTGGCCTGTTACTTCCCAAATGTATATATTATGGAAACTACAGAAAAGCGTAAAAACTAGTAGCTATCTCCAATATCACAGATGACCTCCCATAACATATCTGGAACATCCTTCTGCTCCGTTTTGTAACATACGTGCAACTTCGTAGAAAGTGTGGTTCCAGTCCAACCGAATGATGCTGATAGTTTTGTCATCTGTTCTTAGCAAGAGTGGATACCTGAGTCCAATCCCCAGGAGAGGCAAGGTCACACCTGCCTGCCCCTTTGCCCAAGACTTGGCGTGAGCGTCCCCCTGTCCACCCCCCCAGCCCCGAGTGCAGACCCCGCGCACCTTCCTTGCTGTAGACCTTCTCATCACTGCAGTCCTCCATGGGCAGCCAGGGTGTGTCTCGGTCACAGTTCACCAGCAGGATGGCCCCCTGGCCCTCAGGACCCCAGGTCCAGGATGCCTGTGTTGGTGAGGAGAGAGGTCAGCGCTGTCTCCTCTACTTCTTCAGGTGTCCCCAGCCTCAGTGCAGACCCCACAGGGCCCTGGGGAGGCAGCCCAGGGCGAGGCTCGGGAGCAGCCACGAGGCAGCTGTGACCTGGCGAACACGAGTCCTACGTCTGATGCCTGGAGAGGGTCAGGGTTAGCACCGAAGGCGGGTTCAGGGTGGGGACGGACACGGGCGGAGGCAGATACAGAAGGCTGGCTCAGGCATTACGAGCCTCACATCTGGTGTGCCCCTGCCTGGAGTGGGGCGGGGGAGACAAGGCAAGACAGCCGGAGAAATGGACAGGCAGACATTTCACGATGGCTCAAGGGTGCCCCGAGGGAAGGCGGCGCAAGCCCTGACTGCAGGCCATACGGCAAAGCTACGGTGATCAAAGCGGTGTGGTGAGGGGACAAAGACAGACACAGAGATGAACGGACAGAACCGAGAGCCGGAAACGAGTCACACTTATACGGGCCACCAGTCCTCAACGGGGGGGCAAGACTATACCGGGAAATGACAGTGTCTTCAACAGAGTGCTGGGCAAACCTGGACAGCTACGTGCAAAAGAATCAGACTGGGCTTCTTTCTTGCAAATACCATACACAACAATAAACTTAGAATAGAGGCTTAAATGTAAGCTTGGAAACCAGAAAACTTCTGGAAGGAAACACAAGTGGAGTGCTCTGTGACATCAGTCTTAGTAACGGGTTTTTTTTGATACCTCCTCAGGCACGTGCAACAGAAGCAAAACCAACCAACAGGACACATCGAACTAAAGGCTTGTGCTGAACAGAGGAAACCATCAACAACAAAGAAGAGCTGCTTACGAATGGGAGAAGACATTTGTAACAGATATACTCGATCAGGGGTTAACACCCAAAATACACAAAGAACTCATAAGACTCAAGGTCAAAAACAACCTGATTGTAAAAATGGACAGAGAAGCTGAATAGAATTTTTTCCAAAGAAGATATACAAATGGCCAACATGCATGTGAAAAGATGGTCAACATCTCTAATCATCAGGGAAATACAAATCAAAACCACAATGAAATACTTCACACCTGTCAGAACGGCTATCACAACAAAAGACAACAAATAATCGAGGCTGGCGAGGAGGTGGAAGGGAACCCTTGGGCACTGTTGGTGGGAACGTAAGTTTGTGCGGCCACTATGGAAAAAGTGTGGAGATTCCTCCAAAAAATTAAAAATAGAACTTCCATACGATCCAGAAATTCCACTCTTAGGTCTTTATCTGAAGAAAACAAAAACACAAATTAGAAAAGATATATGTACTTCTATGTTATTGCACTATTATTTACAATAGCCAAGATATGGAAGGAACTTAAGTGGCCATCAGTAATGAATGGATAGTGAAGACGCAGTACATATACACAATGGAATAGTACTCAACTACAAAAAAAAAAAAAATCTTGCCATTTGCAACAACATGGATGACCCTAAGTGAAATAAGTCAGAGAGAAAAAAATACTGCTGTATGTTACAAGTCAAAGGTGTGAAGAGAGGAAATCTTAAGTGTTTCCAACAGAAGGAAAGCTTTTTTTCTACTTCTAAAGATTTAGGGCAGGAGGAGAAGGGGGCAACAGAGGATGAGATGGTTAGACGGCATCACCCAAACAATGGACATGAGTTTCAAGAAACTCCAGGAGATGGTGAAGGACAGGGAAGCCTGGTGTGCGGCAGTACCTGGGGTCGCAGAGGGTCGGACATGACTGAGTGACTGAGCAACAACAGCTCCGCATCTGTGTGAGATGATGGGTTTACACGGAGCTGAGCATCTTATGATGATTGTGAGTCAGATCATTAGGCTGTGAGCCACAGAGCCCACGCGTGTAACAGCGAGGGAGCCCACACGTCACAGCGAGGGAGCCCACACGTCACAGCGAGGGAGCCCACACGTCACAGCGAGGGAGCCCACACGTCACAGCTAGGGAGTCCACACGTCACAGCTAGGGAGTCCACACGTCACAGCTAGGGAGTCCACACGTCACAGCTAGGGAGTCCACACGTCACAGCTAGGGAGTCCACGCAGGTAACAAAGATCCCGAGTGCTGCAACCAAGCCTCGATGCAGCCTGAATAAATAAATAAACCCATCCTGCTGTACACCTGAAACATACACAGTGATATGCATCAATTATATCTCAATAACACTGGAAGGAAAAGAGCCGTACCCAGAGGGGCTCCGGGCTCTTGGGTGAACAGACTCCCGGCGATTTCCAAACTTGCTCTGAGTTCTCCCAGTGGGACCTGTAAGGTGACCCCTTTTCAAGACTGCAGCCAGAGTGATATTAGGACAAACTCCAACCAGATCGAGTTGCTTCCCTGCTTCCCCTTGTCAGGGGCCCCCCGTTGACTCGGGATGAAGCTCCCGGCCCTCCCTGTGGGCTGTGGGCCCCTGTGAGACCTGCCCACCTTGGCCTCTCTTTCTGTCTGCCTCCCCCTCGCTGGCCGCCTCCCGGCTCCCAGAAGACTCCAAGCTCAAGCGTTCGAGTGCTGGTCCCTCTGCCTGGAAAGTGGTCCTGTCTCGCTTCACCTGGCCAACTCCACCCCTCCTTCTGGTCACAGAGCATAACCACTCCTTCCTCCTGGAAGCCTCTCTGATATTCTAGACCAAAGCAGCTTTCCCTGGGTTCACACTTAGGACACTGTACATGTTCCTTCTGGGGCGGACTCAGGACAACTGTGATGAAACCGCCACCAGAGTCACTCTTCATTTAACGTGCCCCCAACCCTCCTGGGCTGCAGGCTCCCTGATGCCAGGGGCTGCCTGTCTCTCCTTCTCTTGACATCCCCCAGGCCTGACCCAGTCCTGAAACATAAGAGATGTTGAAAAAATATTTATGGTATGAATCAAAACAACAATGAGGTACCTCACACTGGTTAGAATGGCCATCATTAAAAAGTCTGCAAATAACAAATGCTAGAAAGGGTGTGGATAATAGGGAACTGTTGGTGGGAATGTAAACTGAAGCAGCCACTGTGGAGAAAAGAACGGAGGTTCCTCAAATAACTAAAAATAGAGTTGCCACATGATCCAGCAGTCCCACACCTGGAGATATTCCCAGACAAAACCATAATATGAAAAGATACATGCCCAGCATGTTCACCGCAGCACTGGTCACAGTCTCCAAGACATGGAAACTACTACTCGTCCACCAACAACAAATGGATGAAGAGGGTGTGGAACACACACACAATGGAATATTACTCAGCCACTAAAAAAATGAAACAATGCCATTTATAGTAACACGGATGACTTAGAAATTATCATACGAAGTCAGAAAGAGAAAGGCAAACACCAGTGATACCATTTATATGCAGAATCTAAAATACGACACAAATGAACACATCTACAAAACAAAAACAGACTCCCAGATACAGAGAGCAGACTAGTGGTTGCTGAGGTGGTGGGGTGGGAGGACAGATAATTTGGGATTTGCACACGTAAACTAGTATGTACAGGAGGCTAGACCACAAGGTCTGACTGCTTAGCACAGGGCGCTGTATTCACATCCTGTAATAAACCACGATGGAGAAGAACATGAGAAAGAACACACAGGTGGATCCAAGTTACTCTGCTGTGTAGCGGAAACTAACACAGCACTGTAAATCAAGCAGACTTCAATGACGTTAGTGTTTATGAGATGAATGAAGAAGACATTAAACTGTACTGGCCCAGATGAATGAGTCAGGGTAAATCCAGGGCCACAGGGGCTGGGTGACCCCCCAGCTCCTCGGGGGAAGCAGGGGCGCCCTGGGACCTGCCGTGGTGTGGCTGCAGACACGGCACAGATCTGTGGGGCTGACTCGGCCTCAGGAAGGCGGGGCTGGGCAACCAGGAACCTCGGGGAGCGGGCTCCCCTACAGCCCCGAGGAGCTCCCAGAGGCGCGTGGAGAGTTTGAAACTGGCTGCCCGGCCCCAGGCTTCTCACTGGGCTGTATTAACTTACTTTTTAAAGTATCCATCTCCATATAATTTAAACCAGGCTACAGGTTGTTATTATAAAAGTAATGTATGCCCATGGCAAACATCTAAGTGCTCTAGAAGAGCAGAAAATGGAAAGCAGAAGCCCAGATGTGCACAGAGCAAAACCAGCAGAGCTTAAAGTCGGGGTGAGAGTCGCACTACCACTCGTGAGCTAGAGAGCCAGTGGGGTGCTGCGTGATTCAGGGGTTCACACCAGGGCTGGAGAGGCGGGGGGGGGGAGGTTCAGGAGGGAGGGCGGCATCTACACCTGTGGCTGACCCACGCTGGTGCATGGAGGAAGCCAACACACACTGTAAAGCCATATCCTTCAATTAAAAATAGACAAATTAAAAACAAAACAAAACGGGGGTGAGGAAAACGACTTGGAGAACACACGCCGTCTGCACAAGTTAAAAATACACACACCCTGACCACACCGCATGTTTCGCAAGAATCACAAGAATGGAAAGTGACATGTTAAAATCATTCAAGTGGTCCTTTGCAGGGGAGCAGAATGGAAGTGAGGGATGTAGGATTGAGGAGAATAAGTGAATGAACAAATGTGCTCAGTCGTGTCCGACTCTTTGAGACCCCATGACTGTAGCCTGCCAGGCTCCTCTGTCCATGGTAGTGTCCAGGCAAGAATACTGGAGTGGGTTGCCAGGCCCTTCTCCAAGGGATCTTCCTGACCCAGGGATCGAACCCAGGTCTCCCACACTGCAGGCGGATTCTTTACCATCTGAGCCACTGGGGAAGCCCAGACAAACAAATAAATGAATAAACAAAACCAGGAAGAGGATGTGCGTGCATCATTAGAGATGACATGCCTAAGTATACTATCAAGGATGAAACAGATCACCAGCCCAGGTTGGATGCATGAGACAAGTGCTCAGGGCTGGTGCACTGGGAAGACCCAGAGGGATGGGAGGGAGAGGGAGGCGAGAGGGGGGATCGGCAAGGGGAACACATGTAAATCCATGGCTGATTCATGTCTATGTATGGCAAAAACCACTACAATATTGTAAAGTAATTAGCCAATTAGCCTCCAACTAATAAAAATAAATGGGAAAGAAAATAAAATAAATAATACATTAAAAAAAAAAGAGAGATGACACATCTTGAATTGGGAATGATTATTGCAATCTTCTGCTCCTCATGGCCAAAAAAACCCAAAAAGGCAAAACAATAAGAGCAAATGCTTTGGCGGCACTTCCTCTGTGGCAGGACGTTCATCCTTTACACCAACTACATGAACTGGGTGTCCCCACCCTCTGGATGGGCCACTGAGACTTGGGGACCAGCTCCGTGGCTGTTCCTCTAAGGAGCTTGCTCCTCGGTGGACTCTGTCAGTGGTGTGTGTGTGTCTGGGAACTTGTCTTCTCATCTGTAAAGTGAGAGTTGTCGAAGTTTCCTGGGAGGACTGAGGCTGCCTACAGGCCCCAGCCTGGGGCTCTGGCCCGGGAAGCCCCCATTCAGGGCTGCCTGCCCTGGGAGTGAGGTACCTTTCTTGGGTTGTTCTTCTCCACCACGCCGTCCCGGTCTGCATCCACATCCAGGGAGATCTCTGCGGACAGACACAGGGGTGAGCTGCTGGGCTGCCAGAGAGGGTGGGGCGGGGACAGGAGGAGGGCCCTACGGGGTTAGGGTGCAGCTCACTCGAGGGAAGAGCTGTGCTGCGGTCACCTTAGCCAACTCCCCGCCTCAACACCCCACTGCTGGATGGGAACACAAGTGGACACCGTGCAGACTGTGAAGCTCAGGGAGGTGCCGCCAGGTGGGTCTGGGGTCTGCTGCCGCCTTGCCTCTCCTCTGCAGCTCGGGGTGGTGGGAGCGATGAGCCACACCAGACGGATCTGGGGCTCAGAGAGGTCAAGGCGTGCGCCTGGGGCACAAGGTCACAAGGTCCCACGAGGAGGTCTGAAGCATAGACTGCGTTCGGTGTGAGTCAAAGCTCAGATGTTGGAACTTTCACGGGACTCCCTGCCTGCCTTCCTGGCCTGTCCGGGGTGTGTGTCCACATGTGCACCTGTGTTTCTCTTCCAGAACTCCCGGGGGTCTAGACCCACCTCTAAGGACTGAGGGTTTACTTTGGGTAGAAAACTGGATCTTCAGCTCCTATTGATCTGACTGTGCCCAAGAGGCCAAGCCGCCAGAGGACCCAGGGTGGGGTCCTCGCTGTCCTTCCTCTGGGGGAGGCACCTTCTCTGTTCGTAGGCCTATGTGGGGCAGTGAAATGAGCCCAGAGTTCAGCATCAGACAGCACTGAGTTTGAACCGTGGTTCTCGGCTTATAACCTGGGTGGCACTGGGCAGCTTAGGCAGCTTTTCTGAGCCCCGGCCGTGGAATGGAAACGGAGGCTTTCCTGGGGGATGAGCTGCCCTGATTGAAGAGGTAGGCGCTGCTGGCGTTGTGAGTCAGACTCTTGCTGAGTTGCTGCTGTGGGTCTGCCCTGTGCATTGTGGGGTGTTTAGCCGCACCCCTGGCTTCTACCCCTGGATGCCCATAACATCCCCCCAGCTGAGACAACCAAAAGGTCTCCAGATACTGCCACAGGTCCCCTGGGGGCAACACGGTCCCCGAGTCGGAGACCAAGAGGGTGAGGCAGGGGAACTGTTGGGAAGGTGGCGGGAGCAACAGGCAGAGCGAGGCGAGCCGGGCCCAGGTCGAGGACGGCCTGTGGGCTCGGCCTCAGGCTGAGCACGACTTGGACGGAGGCCGGAGCTGGGTGAGAACGAACGGGTTCCTGGTCGGTTCTGCTGGCAGCCGAGCTGTGTCCCCGGTGGGGGGGGGCAGGCGTGCCCCTCTCTCTCTTAAGTCAGGGGTTATACTGAGGGCCTCCCTTTGCCCACAGCCAGATTCCCTCCTCACCCTGACTGTGGCTTTTCCAGGTCTGGAAGGAGGTGGAGGGGGGTTCTAAGGGCGCCGAGTCCTTGGGAGAGGGAGGCAGTATCCCCACTTCTGCAGCCCCAGGTTAGATGCTGTAGGAAATAATTATATAAACTCCTCCCACTGATCCCATTCACACAGCAAATCACTACCGAGCATCGACTGTGCTCCAGGCCCCACACACGGGGATCAGGGTGGGCAATCAGGCCGTAGTGCCTGCTCTCAAGGAGCCCCAGTCTTATGTGTGTGTGCTTAGTCGCTCAGTCGTGTCTGACTCTGGGATTCCATGGACTGTAGCACTCCAGGCTCCTCTGTCCATGGGATTCTCTAGAAAAGAATTCTGAAGTGGGGTTGCCATTCCCTTCTCCAGGTGATGTTCCCGACCCAGGGATCAAACCCGGATCTCCTGCATTGACAGATGGATTCTTTACCGTCTGAGCGCCCCGGGGAAGTCCTATGAGATAAATATTATTGTTCCCACTTTACAGACGAGCAAACTCAGACTTGGAGATGTCACTTGTCAGCAAACTAGTGATCTGGGGGGCTGGTGCAGGATAAGAATTCTATGTAGAAAGCGGAAAAGGCAGCCCCACCAGCTACTGTTAGAGGTAGAAGGCTCAAAGGGAGGACCAATATTGATACTGGCTCCCAGACAGCCAGGAACTTGCCAGCGGGACACTCCCCAGGGAATGCTGCTGTGCGGGGAGGCTGGCTTCCTGAAGCTTCTCCCAGGGGACCTGCTGCAGACACAGCCTCCTCCAGGAATCACTCTGTGCTTTTCAGGATAGCAATCTCTCCTGGGTGTACAGTTGTTTGCGGACAGTGGAGCACTTCCCATAGGTGTTTTCCCTTCAGTCACCACCCTCCCAGCCATCCTGCCACAAATAGGAGGAAGCGGGGCAGCCAGCAGGGCAGTGACTGTGAAGACCCCAGGTTGTACAGAGCCAGGGGGCCTCGGGCTCCAGACCCCGCCCTTGGCTGCGTCCTCCACAGTCTCAGGCTGACCTCCGCCCTGCGTTGTTTCCAAAACCGAAGCCCGCCTTCCAAGGCGCAGGACTCACTGCTCTAGAGGTCGCGCCCAGAGGAGGGCCGACTCCCCACCCTGGCGACCCTGCGGCTTTGGTCTCTAGGCTGCAAGGCGCCACCGCATCATGGCTCCTGTGGTCCATGAAAGCAGTGGTCACAGGAGAGAAACCAGGAGCGCTTCCCTGAACTTCACTATGAACTTCTCGTTATTCTGGGCCGCACCATGCGGCTCGTCAGCTCTTAGTTCCCTGACCAGGGACGGAACCTGTGGTGCATGCCAAGTCCTAACCACCAGGGCGGCACGGACCTCCCCATGATGAATTTCTTACATTAAATTTTTGTTATCGATGTAATATCTGCACAAGTGCAAAAAAAAAAAAGAAATAAAAAAGAGTACCAAACAGCTTCTAAAAAAACCCAGGGGTTCTTTGTTTAGCCTGTCCCCTCACCTGCCTGAGGCAAGCTCTATAATACCGAATAATAGGCCTATTATTTTTTTCTCGGTTTATTCAATTGGGACAAATTTCACTGACTTCCTGTTATGAAATCACATAATCGGGCTCCCTTATCGCCCACCTCCCGACTTCCCACGGTGCTTTGACACCTTCTCTCTTGTGACTCTTGACAAAACATCATGGTCAGTTGGAATAGCCTCCTCACCCTGCTGCCCTCGCTCAGAAATTCCCTCAAGTTACAAGCCATTCCTCAAGAATTTCTCCCCCTCAAAGCTTCCCTCAAGGTCCAGTTTAACTGGATTCCAATGGGATGCTCCTGAGGAGATGGGAGCAGGCTTGCGGCCCGCCCAGGGCTCTGCCTCCCGGAGCAGCTCTATCTTCTCTAGGGAGGGGGAGGCGACATCTGTTTCAGGGCTTCTGGGCTCCAGACATTTCCCGGAGGCTCCAAGTCCTGCCTCAGCTCCCCAGAATAGCCCCAAGGTGTCAAGTGGCACCCAGGGTGTGGGGCAGATTAACTGGAAATGTCACCAGGACTGGACTCAAGGCAGCCTGCCCTGGAATCAAGACACCGGCCTCAGCTTCTGCACGAGCGCTCTGGCGGCCTTCAGCCCCCGCACGGTGTCAGGGCCCCTGGCCTTCCTGCCGGACGGGGCGGCTTGGGGCGTGGCAGGGAGAGGACTCTCTCTGCGACAGTCGCCGGCGGTGGTGATCCTAGGTCTGGGAGGGGGTGCAAGGAACGAGGGCCTTAGGTTGATGTGAAAAATCCTCCAGGGTCCCATCCACGTGCTCCTCCCTTTGCAGGGCCTTGGCAAAGAGGGTGAGGCTACGCCCCTCTCCACCATCCTCCCCTCAAACTCCCTTAACAGCGAGGATGTTGCGAATCAGCCCTACCCAGGGGCTTGGAGGCTCTCCGGGATCAATGAGCTCAAAACTCACTTTATAGCCGCGAAAAAGTGAGATCCAGGGAACTCCCTGGTGGTCCAGTAGTTAGGACTCTGTGCTTTCATGGCCAAGGGCCTGAGTTTGATCCCTGGTTGGGGAACTAAAGCCCCACAAGCAAGCGGCACAGTCCCCCCCAAAACACACAAACACACACACACACACACACACACACAAGTGAGGTCTACAGGGGGAGGGCATATCACAGGTTTTTGGCGAGACTGGGACCGAGAACCATAGCCTGATTTCACGGAGGACATCATGATTTTGTTCTCGATAACAGGAAGAAGACTGAGGAACAATAAGGTTCTTCAGCGTCACAGAGGCAGAGAAAATGGGCTGCCCCATGCCCCAAGAGGAAGGGACAAAAGCAAAGAGTATTACCTGAGCACCTAGCCCCTGCCAGGCCTGGGGATGCCCCATCCCACTGAACCCCTATAAGCACTGTGCAAGAGTACACTGGAAACCCATTTTACAGATGAGGAAACTGAGGTTCACCAGAATGGTGTTCATAATGTGGCTGGAGGGGAGAGAGCCAGAACTTAGACCTACTGTATTTCTGTCCACTCTGAGGCCAGGGCTCTTTCTACCCAGTGCGGACTCAGGATAGAAGTAGGGTGAAATGGACACTAATACATCCCTGGGGGACAGTTCCACCATCCTGAGTCATTCAAGGCGTTCTTGCCTATGAGCTGCCACCCCCAAATGATCACTCAGGCCGTGGGCATCCTGGGGCAGATCCCTGAGGGAAGACAAGACCCGGATGGGTCAGACAGACCAGTGAGTGGGTCCCAAGGGAAGCCTAGTTTTCCCCAGGCTCCCTGGGGAAACATAAGCTCAGTGGGGTGAGTTTTTCATAAAGCTTTACTTCTGCAATGTGAACGACTGTCTTCTGTTTTGACATTATGCCCTGCCTACTTTTCAGGTGCTAACATGTTAACATGATGGTGATAGTTGACGGTAAATTGCTTTATTAATGTCTTTTTTGGGGCCAACCTTCAAAATTGTTAGGTTTACTAATTTGGTGGGGAGGGGACATTTTACTGACCCATAGAACCTAAATATCTGGAACTTGTGGCAGTTAAAGAAATAACTCTTCAGTGAGACCGTCAGCACCCCAGAAGGACGAGCCTGGTCATTCATCATGGATTCGGTATCTTCTGCAGTCTCGGCCCTATGGCACCCTCACTTGTCATTTAGTCGCTAAGTCAGATCTGACTCTGTGACTCCATGGACGGTAGCCCGCCAGGTTCCTCTGTCCTTGAGTTTCTCAGGCAAGCATACTGGAGTGGGTTGCCATTTCTGCCTCCAGGAGATCTTCCCAAAACCCAGGGACCGAACCCACGTCTCCTGCATTGGCAGGCAGATTCTCTGTCCGTGAAGGACCAAGGAAGCTACGCCTGCCTCCTCACAATGTTACTGTGCCGCCCGTCCTGGGCCCGCGCCGGCCTCCTCACGGTGTCACTGTGCCGCCCGTCCCGGGCCCGCACCCGCCTCCTCACAGTGTTACTACACCATCAGTCCCGGGCCCGCGCCGGCCTCCTCACGGTGTTACTACACTATCAGTCCCGGGCCCGCGCCAGCCTCCTCACAGTGTTACTACACCATCAGTCCCAGGCCCACAACTGCCTCCTCACGGTGCTACTACACCATCAGTCCCGGGCCCACACCCGCCTCCTCACGGTGTTACTACACCATCAGTCCCGGGCCCGCGCCGGCCTCCTCACGTTGTTACTACACCATCAGTCCCAGGCCCACACCTGCCTCCTCACGTTGTTACTACACCATCAGTCCCGGGCCTGCACCTGCCTCCTCACGGTGTAACTACACCATCAGTCCCGGGCCTGCACCCGCCTCCTCACAGTGTTACTACACCATCAGTCCTGGGCCCACACCTGCCTCCTCACGTTGTTACTACACCATCAGTCCCGGGCCTGCGCCGGCCTCCTCACGGTGCTACTACACCATCAGTCCCGGGCCCACACCTGCCTCCTCACGGTGTTACTACACCATCAGTCCCGGGCCTGCACCTGCCTCCTCACGGTGTCACTACACCATCAGTCCCGGGCCCGCACCGCCTCCTCATGGAGTCACTGCACCGGCCGTCGCAGGCCCTCTGTGTTTGGTGGGAGCCTCGCCAGTGGCATCATCAGCCCCCTGGGAGCACCCTCCTCTGCCAGGCTTCGGGCCGCTGCCTTTCCTGCTAGCGTCCTCAAGTGTCCTTGCCTCTTGGGATTGGGTTTCCTCGGGACGGTCACCTGAGACAGCCTGGGGCACCCTGTACCCGTGAGGCTCTCACGTGCCAGTCCTGGGCCGCAGCGCTGGGAGCTTCAGTTTCGTCTCCGGAGGCGCCCCCTCCCCCTCCAAGCAGCCCTGAGGACCATCGCCCCGAGACCCGGCACTCACTTCCTCAGTGCGGAAAGAGGGGCAGCTGACCAGCAATCAAGCCCGTCCGGGAATCAGCTCGGAAGTGGGAGAGCAACGCTATCGAGTGTATTTGGGGCTACAGGCACAGGGTTGGAGGAGGAGGAGCTGGCTTGGGAACTAGTTGTTTTGTGGGGGAGTTCTGAGACCCCCAGGGGGATTATGAAGTAATTGAAATGGCTGGGTGTCCCGTAGACCACTTTCTGGTGTGTGGCCCCAGGCAGACCTTGGTTTTCTCATCTGTAAAGTGGGGACTATAATAGTACGTACTCTGAGAATAGATGTGAAAATAGACTGGGCGCATGCTAGCTAAACCCCCTGGTGCTGGAGCCTGGCTCCCTGGAGGTGCTCAGCAAACGCCACCTCTGCGCCAGAGTCCTGGACACAGCAGGTGTTCAGCAAATAGACATCACTGTTATTTTTAACTCCCTCAGGACATAGCTGACTCTCAGGAACAGCTTACCTTCCCCTGACCTGTGGCCACTTTGTCAATGGTAAACTAAGGACTCACTGAAATGGCCGCCTGGCTTGAACATTATAGGAGCTAAACTGAAAGGACAAGTGATACCTTCACTGCAGAAGAGTCCAGGGAGTGAAGCCCCAGAACCTTGCATCCCACGTGCCCTGGCATCCAGGGGAGGGGCGTGCGGTGCAAACGGGAAGAACCCACAAAGGCATGAGCCCGAGTGCTGGACCCAAGCAGCGCTGTGTTGCCGGGTGACTTTGAACGAGGTCCCCAGCCTCCTGGGCCTCAGTGTCCTTGTGAACCCAATGAAGGGCTAGGACGAGGTGGGTTAGGGACCCAGGCTGCATCTTTGCATCCTGAGGGCTGGGGCTGGGGAAGGCAGGGTGAGGCTGGGACTGGGAAGGGCAGTGCAGGCTTTGTAGACAGGCCCTTCTCCTCTCAGCAAGCGAGCCCTTCTCCAGGCTGCAGGGCAGAGGCGGGGGACGAGCAGCCTTGGCTGTTTCTCCCCTGAGGTCCACAGAGGCTGCGACGGGGACTCTGACAGCCTGCTGAGTTGCTTGAGGACCACGGCACGCCTGCCCCGGAAGCACTCCCCATGCCTGGACAGAAGGGCATTGCTCCGCAGGCCCGCATTATTAGAGGAAGCACCAAGTGCCAGGCTGGCAGCACTGAGAACAGCCCAAGCGCCTGGGAAGGGCAGCAGTGCCAGCCCCCGGGGAACAAAGTCACCCAGGACGGAGCCACGCTGACTCACCGATGGCCGTGAGGAAGAGCCCAGCCTGGTCGATGGGTGTGATCCCCTCCTCCTCATAGTAGCTGACGGTGACCTTGACGGGGGCGGGGGGGGGGCACACGGGGAGGGAGAGAACAGAGGTCACAGGTCATAGGCAGGAAGACCTGCAGGGACCACCTCACAGTCTGTCAAGCTGATCCACTCTAACCAGCTGAACCCTCTCCTCCAGGAAGTGCTCCTGGCTTCGTGGGCTGTTTCTCTCAGAATATCCAAGTAGACCGGGGGCTCCCCTCTCTCAGAGGGCATCCAGGGTGTCGTCTGCTACTTGCCCCCCGGCACATTCTGCTGTCGGTCCCCACTTCTGCCGGGCTGTGTACCTAGCTCCCACTCGGCAGCGATAGGGCTTAGGCTGTTCTCACTGGATCACCCAGTGCCATCACTGACATGGGACACATGTGACGTTCATGTTGATGATTAGAGAACCCAGGGAAGAAAGGGTCTGGTCTTGGCTCTACCTCTTGGGCGTGGGCACCCAGCATCCTGTCTGATACACGATGAAACCAAGGACGTTCGTGGCTGTCGCTTCCAGTAGTCTAAGAGTCTGTGCTAAGAGTCCCGTGATGTTAACCTGCCATGAATTCATCCTTCTGTGGCTGTAGCTGTGAGCTGAGGGTCTGCTGCTGAGTCAGTTCAGTCGTGTCCGACTCTGCACGACCCCACAGACGGCAGCCCACCAGGCTCCCCCGCCCCTGGGATTCTCCAGGCAAGAACACTGGAGTGGGTTGCCCTTTCCTTCTCCAATGCATGATAGTGAAAAGTCAAAGTGAAGTTGCTCAGTTGTGTCTGACTCTTCACGACCCCATGGGCTGCAGCCCACCAGGCTCCTCCGTCCATGGGATTTTCTAGGCAACAGGACTGGAGTGGGCTGCCATTGCCTTCTCCAGAGCTGAGGGTTTACTGAGCACTTAAAAAGTGGCCAGTTTGAACTGAGGCAGGTGTGAAATGCACAGAAGATTTAGACTCGGTGTGGAAAAATTCTTGGTCTTGTTTTTTATGTTGACACCACGTTGAAATGACAGTATGTGGATATATGTAGTTAAGTAAAAAATATCATCAAAATTAAGTCCGTCTGTTTCTTTTTGCTGTTTTATTTACTCACTTACTGGTCACGCCGCCCAGTAAAGGGGAATCTTACTAGCAGGTCCCTGACCAGGGATCGAACCCATGCCCCCTGCAGAGACCGCGTGGAGTCCTGCCCACTGGGCCGCTGGGGAGCTCCCTCCTTTTGCTCTTTTAACGTGGTTGTGAGAAAACGGAAACCGATGTGTGTGGCTCACGCTCGGCTTCCCCTGGCCGCGCGGACCCGGCCGTCCGGGCAGCGGCGTGGCCCCCGGCCCCCCGGCCCGAGCGGGAGCACCTCCCTCCCACGGTACCTTGTCGCTGCTGGCTTCGGGGCTCGCCTGGCTCATGGTGAGCCGCAGCGTGGTGCTGGGCGCCAGGGCCCAGCGCTGCTTGCCGTTGGCGGCCACCTCCTCGGCCTGCCCATCGCGCACCACCTCCACCCGCACGCGCTCCGAGTGCTTCAGGCTGAAGGTCTGGGCGCCCGCGGGGGCCGCGCTGTAGGGAGAGAGGAAGCTGCGTCACAGGGGCCCCTGGGCAGGCCGGGGTGAGGGCCTTCAGGAGGAGACCCCTGGGGGGGCAGGGCTGCCGGGCTCCCCGAGGCTGCCGGGCTCCCCCAGGCTGTCGGGGCTCCCCCAGACTGATGGGGCTCCCCCGGGCTGATGGGCTCCCCCAGGCTGACGGGCTCCCCCAGGCTGACAGGGCTCCCCCAGGCTCCCAAGGCTCCCCCAGGCTGACGGGGCTCCCCCAGGCTGACGGGGCTCCTCCAGGCTGCAGGGCTCCCCCAGGCTGACGGGGCTCCCCCAGGCTGATGGGCTCCCCCGGGCTGACGGGGCTCCCCCGGGCTGACGGGCTCCCCCGGGCTGACGGGCTCCCCCAGGCTGACGGGGCTCTGACGGGGCTCCCCGGGGCTGACGGGGCTCCCCCAGGCTGACGGGCTCCCCCAGGCTGATGGGGCGCCCCCAGGCTGACGGGGCTCCCCCAGGCTGACGGGCTCCCCCAGGCTGACGGGGCTCCTTCAGGCTGACGGGCTCCCCCAGGCTGACGGGGCTCCCCCAGGCTGACGGGCGACCCCAGGCTGACAGGGCTCTGACGGGGCTGATGGGCTCCCCCGGGCTGACGGGCTCCCCCAGGCTGACGGGGCTCCCCGGGGCTGACGGGGCTCCCTCGGGCTGACGGGGCTCCCCCGGGCTGACGGGGCTCCCCCAGGCTGACAGGCTCCCCCAGGCTGATGGGCTCCCCCAGGCTGACGGGGCTCCCCCAGGCTGACGGGGCTCCCCCAGGCTGCGGGGCTCCCCCAGGAGGACTCAGCTGTAGGTAATCACCCGGCAGTGAAGACGGCACTGGCTAAAAACACAGATTCCTTCAGTGTGGGAGGGATACATTAGGACGTTGAGATGAACTGATACAGACTACTGTAGATAAACAACAAGGACCTGCTGGATAGCACAGGGAACAATATCCTTAATAACCTTTAGTGGAAAAGAATCTGAAAAGGAATCCACGTGCATGTGGCCTCCCTGGTGGTACCAGTGGTAAAGAATCCGCCTTCCAACACAGGACACACGGGTTCGGCCCCTGATCTGGGAAGATCCCACATGCCAAGGGGCCACCAAGGTTGAGCAGCACCGCGGCAGAGCCTGCGCTCCAGAACTGGGAGCCTGCGCCCCAGCGGGAGAAGCCCACGCACCGCGCTGACGAGCGGCCCCACCAAGGCTGAGCACACTGCGGCGGAGCCTGCGCTCCACAGCGGGAGAAGCCCACGCACCGCGCTGACGAGCGGCCCCACTCGCCACAGCCAGAGAAGAGCCCGAGCAGGGATGAGGACCCGTCACAGCCAGGGTAAATGAATAGAAAGAAAAATAGATTCCCTGGGCTCATCTAGCACCCACTGATTCAGCATATTCCAGGTTGGGGCCTGGGGAATCTGCTTTTCCTTTTTTGAATCAGTAGGCTTTGTTTTTAAAGCAGTATTAGGCTTATAGAACAGTTGATCAGATGGTACAGAGTTCTCACACACCCCTTCTCCTCTATGCAGTTTCCTGTACTGTGGATGTCTTGCATGTGTGTGATACATGCTATAATTAATGAAGCAACATTGACGCACTGTTATTAACTAGAGTCCAGAGTTTACTCCGTACTGGACTCTTACGAGCTTTGTCAAATGCGCAGTATCAGGCATACACGCTTACAGTATCATACAAGACAGTTTCACTGCTTAAAAATGCCCCGTGTTGCACCTAATCATCCCTCCTGGGGACCTGAATTCTTAACAAGATTCCTTGTATTTCTGGTGGGCAACCAGCTTGGAAGGCACCTGCTACTGTAAGGGTGGGGGTCTGAGGCTCAGACAGAGGACTGAGTTTGCAGCAAAGACAGCGCTGGGCCTAGAACTCTGTCTCCCAAGCCCTGTTCGGTGTCTGAGCTGAAGACCAGGGGAGCTTGGCTGCCAGCGAGGAGGCAGGCATCCAGGTGCTGGGTTTGCACACAGACGGAGCCGTGAACTAGGAGCTTGACGGGCAGGGGAGGGCAGGCTCTTCACAGACACCTCCTTTCTGCTGCAGCTTTCGTGGCTTGGAATTCTCCTCTTCGAGAGTCATTCCTTGGGGTTCTGGAGGAGTTTTCTATTAAATAGGAAAAAGCCTTAGAATTCTTGAAAAGCCATCAAGATTTCAGGGCAGGAAAGGAAGTGGTTTGAGCTGGCTGCTGTGGACTAGACGTTTGCGTCTTCCCAAATTCAGACATTGAAGTCCTGACCCCCAATGTGACTGTCGTTGAACATTAGATGAAGTCACAAGAGTAAGGTCTAAGCGATAGGGTTTGTTTCCTCATAAGGCGGGGAGAATGTGGTCTCCCCACCGTGGGCACCGAGAAAGGCCCTGGCTGTGGACCAGGGGGAGAGCCTTCACCAGAGTGCAACCAGCCTGATGCTCTGATCTCAGACTGGGAGAAATAGCTTGTTGTTAAGCCACTGAGCCCGTGGTATTTTGTTTCGGCAGCTCAAGAAGATTTAGACTCCAACTTACAGGGTGATAACAGGAAGGACTGGGAGACAGAGGAGGAAAGCACCCAGGGCTGACAGTTTTGCTAAATCTCCAGCCCACAGTCTGAAGGTTCCCAAAACCTCAAGAGGGCTCAGAGGGATTTAAGCGGATTCTCGTGGGGTTTAGGACTAAGATATAGGTGCAAGTGTCTGCCTCAGAGGCACAGCTGCTATCTCTAAGACCTGGTGCTCTTGGGCTCCCAAAGGGTTCTCCACTGTGGGCATCAGAATCATCAACGGGTACTGTTTAAACCTTCACTTTCTTTTTTTTAACGGCTATAGATTTGTGTGTGCCATTCTCAGAGAGCCCGGCTGGCATGACGGAAGCGCGCCTGGGGCAGTGGCCAGGGATGAATGAGAGCTTCAGAACAGCGGTCCTCAGAGTTCAGGAGCAGCGGCGGCAGCAGAACCATTACCTGGAAGGCTTCTCAAAGCACAGATTGTCTGGCCTTTTCTCAGCATTTCAGATTCTGGTTTTCAAAGAGGCAGAGGAACCAGAGATAAAGTTGCCAACATTCACTAGATCATGGAGAAAGCAAGGAATTTCCAGAAAAACATCTACTTCTGCCTCATTGACTACATGAAAGCCTTTAACTGCATGGATCACAATAAACTGGAAAATTCTTAAAGAGATGGGAATACCAGCCCATCCTGTCTCCTGAGAAACCTGTATGCAGGTCAAGAAGCAACAGTTAGAACTGGACACGGAACTGACCGGTTTAAAATAGAGAAAGAAGGCTATATACTGTCACTCTGCATATTTAACTTACATGCAGAGCACATCATGCAAAGTGTCAGATTGAATGAAGCACAAGCTGGAATCGAGATTACAGGGAGAAACATCAACAACCTCAGATATGCAGATGATACCACTCTAAGTGCAAAAAGCGAAGAGAAACTAAAGAGCTTCTTGATGAGGGTGAGAGTGAAAAGCCTGGCTTAAAACTCAACATTCAAAAAACGAAGATCATGGCATCCTGTTCTCATCATTTCATGGTAAATAGAAGAAGAGAAAGTGGATGCCATGACAGATTTTATTTTCTTGGGCTCCAAAATCACTGTGGACAGTGACTGCAGCCATGAAATTCAAAGATGCTTGCTTCTCGAAAGGAACGCTATAATGGACCTAGACAGTATATTAAAAAGCAGAGATATCACTTTGCTGACAAAGGTCTGTCTAGTCAAAGCTGTGGTTTTTCCAGTGGTCGTGTGTGGATGTGAGACCTGGACCATAAAGGAGGTTGAGGGTGGAAGGGCTGACGCTTTCGAGCTGCGGTGCTGGGGAAGACTCGTGAGAGTCCCTTAGACCGCACGGAGATCAAACCAGTCAATCCTAAGGGAAATCAACCCTGAACATTCATTGGAAGGACTGGTGCTGAAGCCGAAGGTCCAGGACTCTGGCCACCTGATGAGAAGGGCTGACTAATTGGAAAAGACCCAGGAGATGGGACAAATTGAAGGCAAAAGGAGAAGAGGGCAGCAGAGAATGAGATGGTTAGATAGCATCACTGACTCAATGGAATTTGAGCAAATTCCAGGAGATAGTGGAGGACAGAGAAGTTCAGGAGATGGCAAGGACTGTGACACCATTTAGGAAATGAACAACAAGGCCTGAAGCGGGCCTGAGAATCTGCATTTCTATCATGTTTCTAGGAACTGTTGGGACTGCTGGTCCATGGTCCGCAGTTCGAGAACCACCAGAGCGACGTACTCTGGCGCTTAGAGTCCTGGGACAGGATGGCCAAGATCCTACTGTGAGTTTGCAGAGACCGCCAGTCAGGGCCTCTCTGACCCAGGCCACGGACTGTGAGAGTTACTGGCAAAGACTACTGCTGGTCCCAGGCACTGGCAGGAGAAGGCAGACAAGGGTTGGGCAGCCCCATGCCCAGGGCTGGAAAAGGAGATTGTAAAAAAAAGCTTTCGGAATCACTCTGTTTCTTGTCTGTCTCTACCAAACCACTCAGCCCATCATGGGGACACTTGGCTATGGTCTGCTGCGGCAGAGTCTGGGCAGAAGGCAGAAATCCTGGCTTGGGGGGAAATGTGCAGAAAATCTGGGTTCAACCCCAGTTTTGCCACTGACATGCTGAAGGGGACTTGAATGTGTCCCTTGCACCTTCTGAGCATCCACTTGTCAACCCATAAGATGAAAGATGACCACCCATCCCTCCCGTCCCACAGGCCTGTCTTTCACCCCTCGGGGCGGGGTGCGTCTCCTGTTGCCACGGCTTGTCTGTCTCCTCTGGGTTGTAAGACCCCGAGGGCAAGGTCTGCTGTCCTCCAGAGCCTAGCACAGGGCTGAGCACATCACACCACTCAGCAGAGGATGAAGCTGAGCAGGACAGACTTTCCTGGTCGCTCAGATGGTAAAGAATTCACCTGCAATGCAGGAGAGACCTGGGTTTGATCCCTGGGTCAGGAAGACCCCCTGGAGAAGGAAATGGCAGCCCAATCC